CATCGGACGGAATTTAAGCTGGCTCCTGCGGATGGCACTTGATTAGGGCTTCGTCACAACAAGTAGGGCAGAGTAGATGTGATAGGCAACAATAAATTACAGAACCCAAAATTTATCGCTGCATTTAAATATTGCATTAATAATTAAGTTTAAAAGTCCAACGATATTTCTTCTGCCGCCACTTAATTTAAAAGCAATTTGATGTATGTAGGTCATCACTTTCCGCACATTTTTTTTTTTTTTTTCATCGGTCAATTTTGCTGGATTTCGCAATTAATTTCGATAATTCTCAAATTTATTTCCAAGTTATAAAATTTGTTATCGTCCAAATAAAAAAAATCATGTAAAAATCGCCGAAAACAATCGCAGTAATGAAAACTTGGGAATCCAATATTTCCGAATTTCGGATCTGGATTCGGCCGAGAATGATGTGAATTTGCTCACGGAGTCGGCCTGATTCCATAGTGGTATGATATGTTGGTCTACGGCCTCTAAGAGTAAAGTTGAAAAAATGTGACACAGTGACACACTGACAATCGCACTTATTATATAGCAGATACGAATAAAAATCCCCATTTCTTACATCAGTATATTGTAGCTCCCTCCATTCTTATATCAGTATATTGTAGCTCCTTCCATTTCTTACATCAGTATATTATATATCTCTCCATTTCTTACATCTATATATTATACCTCCCTCCATTCTAATATCAGTATATTATACCTGCCACATGATAATGTTTAACAAAGAGATCAGGATAGCTGCTATTAAGAAATATTTCATTGTTGTTTAAACAAAAGGCTATATAGTCTATATTTATTTGTTTGTTTTCTTTTTAGTGACATCCACCAAAAGGTGACCGCTATACAGCATACATAGTTGCAAACGATTTCTAAAGGTGTCTATCACCCGGAAGTTCGAGCGCTTCCAAGTCTTCCCGGTGGCTTTCTTTTAAGCACTGAACATGAAATGTTCAACCTATAGCTGTATCGATTTTCTATCCGGAAAAGTATCATTACAGATTCACCCATATTAAACATTTCAACAGCAAATTGAAAATGTGATGATAAGTGATGGTATTATTAAAAAAAAAAATAACAAGACAATTGCTTGATGAAGACACCATTGGATAGCCCTGTCGGCCGAAGCTTCAGAATACGCAAACTGCACCTGTGTAGGAGGGTAAAACACCCACCCCAAATGAGGCGTGCTGGGTAAGAAGATAAACTACATCGTGAGATCAATCCTTAGATCAGGTAGTGAGCCACCGAATCAGCAGGAATAAAGAATAACTGACATTAGAATGACAAAATATCACATTTATCAAGATATATCCCACATCAACTAATCCACGATTACCAGACGTTGATCAGTATTATATATGATAACGTATTTATAATAACATCTATATCAACCAAGATGAGAAATATAGTCGGAAACAATACAAGAATATTGACTGTTACTCATGTGCGAAATAAAGTAAGAAAAAACTCAGAAATTGAAATGATGTTAGAACTGATCTTTTATTAAATTCGCAAATAATTAAACTGTGCTTATTCCGCTGTCTCTATATAAACACTTTTTATTTAATTACTTTGTCTTTGTGACGGTGGTGATTTCTATTACTAGGTCGGGTTATAGGAAAATATCATGTACAATGTCTCATCGAAAAGTATCGGTACTGTTGCTCTAAAAATAAATCTACAACATATACTAATTCTGCATTTAATCTCCTTCGAAGTAGCCTCCTGCTGAATCCACGTATTTTATCCAACGTCCTTTCACTGATGAAAGCATTTCAGGGACTCTTTTTGTTTTTGTTTTGTGGATAGGGAGTGACTGTTTCGTTGCATTCTCTTGGATTTCTTCGATGTCTTGAAATATTGGTACTTTCAAGTGAGATATAATTTTTGAAGTGATAAACGTTGCAAGGGGCGTAGTCGTGAAAAAAAATCTCTTAAGCATGTTCCCTCTCCGTCCTGGGTATAACGATAAACAACATCCGCGACTTAGGCAAGACGATAAACTACATCCAACAGCAAGGCCTCTAATCAGGAGGTTTTCCGAAGCGGGGAACCACCACTTAATTGCTGATGTTCCCAGGTCCAACTTGACCCGGCGTGGTAGCACCTGTTTGGGTCCCAGCTATGGGCAAATAGTTAACCCGCAAATTGGGTCAAAGCACTTTGAAAGTGTAAAAATAGGTTTTAATACCAGAAATACTTTGTAAAAAATTATTCCCAGCAATAAATTTTTGAAGAAAAACTATTACCAGCAATATATTTTTGAAAAAAAAAATTATAAACGATACTTTAAAAAAAAATTTCAGCAATATATTTTTGAAAAAGAAAAATATTACAAGCAGTAAAAATCTTGTCGGCATTAAATAACTCATTGTGGTTGATATGCCATAAAACAAAACAAAACAAAACACATTATACTATTTACATTATTCGGATTATTGACTTCATCTTTGTCACCATATTTATTACAACGTTTCGACCGTTGTATTCTCCGGCCTTCTTCACGTGGTTGTTGGAATGTTGAACTGAACCCTTTATTTCGCTCACTGGGGTAGACTGTTCTAGTTCCACGAGCCATGTTTTAATGGACGTCAGTTATCAGTTATCTCCTGTTAATTTCCCTCTCCAAGTTCTCTACGGATAACATAATACCTCGTCTCAGAAATATAGACAGATACCAAAACAAACTATATTCTACAAGTTTAATCCGATCAGGATAGCATGGCATCGCAGTGATGAAATATTTTCGTCAGCCGAAGCGTCCGATGAAGATATATCACCTCAAAGTATTCTCTGTTTTCATCATCTATGAAATCTCTTTAATCAGTATGCTTACCACTGCCAGAGTAAGAAGATCTAGGACAAAGAAATTACCTCCCAAAATCAAGTGGACCAGAGCCTGACACCTGACCTTTTCTCTGAAATAAGCTCTAACAGCTCTGTGGGGGCGGGGGGATAAATGGCTGGTCACATTAACGCCTCAGAAAACGAAATTACGTTTTATCATCACTGAGCGGACTCTGAAATTTCATTAATCGCACTGAACGTGTGTTTTGCCTTGAGCGTCTTTTGGAGCTTAAGCTCAACCTAGACCTCAAGAGAAAATCGTAAAAAAAAAATCCATCGCTAAAGATGCTGCGAAAATAGTCGGTAGCCTGTACCGGTCCAATAAGAACCTGACACCTCTTTCTATACTCAATCTCTATAAGATCCAGCTCAATCCCAAGATGGATTATTGCTGTAACATATGGACAGTAGATTTCCAGTCTTCTCTTTTCAGTCCAAAGGCGCCTCTGCGTTTTTGAGTGAGGAATTATTTCCAACCCATTTCTTAGAGAGGAAACGTTGCAAAACTTACGCTGCTATTTCCATGGAAAGTATCCAAACGAATTACATTCATTAGTAATGGAGAGCGGCTCGGATTGAGGAATCGGAGAGCCGAGTTCGAAATCCAGTCGGATTCATTACATTCAATTACGTGCTAATAACTTTGGGAAAAGGTATGAATCCTCTTCTTCTACCAGCTATGGTAAATAGCAGGACTTACCGGGTTCTATAGCCTTGAATGGCAACTTACCTACCGCATGTCAACCTACTGCGGTAAAATATCTGCATCAAAAGATACATGATTGCCTAAGCGTGTATCATGAATGGCGTATAACTGACTGAGTTCCACGAGTTCTAATATTCTCGGCAACCACGCATATAAAAGCGTATCACCCTCAGTATCTTCCTATTCAATTTGATGAGATGTAAATCCCATACGAACAACTTTCCACTACTGCTACAAGAGTATACATTCCTGATCACTACAATCTGCACAAGTCTAGGATGAACCATTATCTTCCCCACATATCTTAAGTTTGCCTCTTACTTCTTAATCTCTAACGCTCTACCACATGTGGATTTGGGGCGTTAATCCCAGGGTGAACATTATAGTAAAAAATAGAGTTTACCTGCATTTCTGGTTTCATAAACGATTGGATACTGAATGAAATAACTGAAACTTTCTTAGCAAGGCAAAAATGTGATTCTAATAGATCATATGATCAGATTACAGGACATTGGTTTGATGGGGGAACCTTTCACCACACACACGCATTAAGAGGTCATGAAATACTCAAATTAAATGTTTTCGTTATTCATGTGATTTCGATTTCAATTTTTTAAGATTCAATTTGCTTTAATGAAAATTAATAGCCAGTACCTTCTGCCATGTTTACTCAAGAAATCTAAAGGCAAAATAAGCGATTACCAGCAAAGGTGAGAGCCCAAAGTCCGAGCCACATTTTGAGTGTGTCATAATCAAGTTTCACAGGCAATATCTGGGTTGTGCAGTTAAAGCGATGAAAAAAGAGAAATACCGAAAGGATATATGAACAGAGAAGAATGTCTTTTAGAACTTAAGCATAGAAATAGGACAAAGGAAAATATTGTTAAAAACAAAGGTCATAATGCCATGTTATATCTACTCTCCTATGCGACAGTGAAAGCTGGACAATATCAATAGAAATAATGAACACATCTGAAGCGGCCGATATGTAATTCTAAATACGATTATTTTATTTGGGAAGTTATTTGTTTGTTTTTTTCTAATCAATTCACCCTAAGCAAGGTGATAATCCAAAGGGCTACTGGGAGTGAAAGAAAATGAAAAGACTTTAGAAACAAACCGGAAACCCAACCCTAAACAGGAAACCAGGGATAAATATCAACTGATGTTCAAAAGAACGGGGAAGGAATAGAAAAATATTGTTTGATTAATCTGTTTTTTTTTTGGGGGGGGGTTATTACAGAAAAGCCAGAAATTCTTTATTATATTGTAAGACTGTGATAACAATGATTTACTAATAGAAGTCCGACAAATTAAATAAAAGCTGGGAGAAGATGAGGTGGATTCATAACTTTCTCAAGAACTTGGCTCTTCGGTTAAAAATTCCGAGCCATTATCCATTACTCCGTCCAAAAATTCAAGCGTACAGCACCTGGTATTTCAAAGAGGTCACCCATTTCGCTACTAAGCGGGTTCGGCGTTACTTAACTTCAGTGGTCGTACGAGAACAGAGTTTCAACTTGATATGGCCGTAAGCCTGAATATATATAATTACAGATAGAAAGATACAGCTAAAATTTCTTATGTTGCATAACACCTTGTTGGGAGTGATCTTGTGGTGACGGCTTCAACCCCATAACAAAGTTGCATTCTTCTTTAAGGGCCGGTGAATGCTAGTAGTTTTTATTCAAGATAGAAAGAACTTCAACACAGGGAATTTTAGCTAAACTATTTTATTAAACATGCTAACGTGTACATTTCTACCTATCCGGTGGCTTTGCTCTCCCTCCACTTCAGACACGAAAGGAAACACGTTTACATTTCTCGACGGTTAAGACTTGACTCTCTGAAACCCCTTTCTCTATCTATCGTTCTCACGTTGGCTCGGCCAATCAATATCGACTTCCATGTTTTGTCTTGCATCTGATCTCAATGGTCAACTCCAGGAAATCGGAGTAGCGTTATACTTTCTCTAATGAATAGTCTGCTAGACTATTATTTCACAAGTAGACCAATAATGAGGAAAGAAGGTTGAGAGATGTTAACATTTACAAGACAGTGAAGACAACAGAAATGAGAGAACAGTGAGTACCTTACTTAATGAATTTGTTTCAAAAGACGGCAAAACAACCAAGTAAAAAAGGGGGAATAAAGGGCCAAACGTCAGAACAACAAACGGATCTAAGTTGTGGCGCGTCATTGTACGAAACGCCCAGAAATGTCTTGGCTTGAAAAATAATTTTAAGCTATAAGGCTGAGCTATATACAAGGGGATACTGAAAACTTCTCATCCCAATCCACTGTCTAAACTGCAATCAAATAAACATATATCAACTATATTTTTTTTAAGAGTTTCTTTTTCATACAATGGATGAAAGCTAAAGAAGAAAGATTTATTCTCTCATTTGTATTTCCCCCATTTTGGACATTATCATATCCATAATATAAAATGACAATATTTCGCGGACGTAACGGAATGGTTGAAAGAAAAACAATGACAAACCTGCTTGGTCCACAAATAGACTTTTATACTACTTAGATATACACACAAAACTAAAGGAAAGTTGAACGCCAGACTTCTATACATCTTAAGAAATAATGTAACCCTTTTTATCTGTCCATAATGAAATTGTCTAGGATTTATATGCTGACAACTTTGTGTCATGACCTATATTGAACAAAAAATCAGTGAGTTTGAATTTAGCACAGGTCATATTCGATTGGTTAATCACAATAAAGTCCAAAGGTCTATTTTTAATTCTGTTTTATTTTTCTCGAAAAAAGAGAAAGTATCCTGCTTTTGAAATTAAATTAATCCTTCACCGCCAGTAGTTTACGATCACCCGCGGAGACACATTTGTAGTGTTGAGGCATAATTGCTACTGTGTAGCGACTTTAACATGTTTTTGTTTTAATGTCGTAAAATAAATAATATTTAGCTCTACTCTGTATTGATCCATCTTTTAAATGTTACGGACTGTGGGATTATACTCAATTTGTCCTCATTTTATCTGGATATATATATATATATATATATATATATATATATATATATATATATATATATATATATATATATTCGCGTACCCCACGCGGAGATTAATATATCATATATATCTACACAGCAAAGCAGAGGGTAAGGAGTAAGGAGAAACAAAAGGAAAGTGCCTTACATATAATATGGAGAGAGTCCTATATCTGGAGAAGCTATGCTTAAGGATATAGATTCAAAGAGGACGGATTCATCTATGACCCAGTCGAGGACACATACAACAAATGAGAAACAGTGTGTCGTGTTTTTTTTGTTTATTTTTTTTTTTTTTCAAATTGAAAACTGCGAACAGGAATTTCTTTCTATATCTGTAAAAGAAATATTCACAAAGAGAAACAGCACCGTGAACTTGTAAGCTGCTGGGGAGTCTGGATTAGCCTGCTGTGTTGTGTGATGGGGAGTTGGCCATTAAGTGACCGTCACGTGACCCACGTGACTTATGTCCACCAAAGAGAGAGATCTGAGCCTTCTGTATCCTTACACTCAGAAGACAAATTTCGAGACATATGCTTCCTATCGTGGCTACTATAAACGTAGATGATAATATTGTTTATTATGTGCGTCTAATTCGCCATATTATTTTATTTTAGATGCTGCTCTGCTAATTCAGTGACGACATCCTAATTCTTTTTGATTCATGAGGTGTGCATGTGGTTAAATCGGAGAGCAGAGATCGAATTCCAGTCGTTTTTTTTACGTTCACATGCGCGCAAATACCCACGTGAAATGTACGAATACAACTTTCCGCAAGGTTTGGGTTAAATAGTGGGATTTGAATCTGGAAATATCATTTTTATTCTCATAAAATACGTAATGCAATATTCACATGCAAAAAAATAATCTTACTCTCCAAATTATGCTTCAGTGTTAAGTAAATTACAAAATATTGATAAGTACTAAAACAACGACAGCAACGAAAATCATACAAATTAATCTTCGTTTATGTGTCGTGCTTATTGCAGATTTGGAGAGTCATGGCTCTCTACGACTTCTTTTCTCTCATTGCTCTATGTAAATGATCTTTCACTATGTGTGTTTGTCTGTGTTGAATCACATTAATTGTTAATTGATTGATTCGTTACTACGATTTGCAGATTATTTCAAGCCAGAACTATTTAAAAGATTATTGAGATAATAATGCTTTAGTGATGCAAATCTTACTAATTAACCCATAGCTGGGGAGAAAAGGAGGTGAATTCCTAGCTTTCCAAAGGGTATTAGTGCGGAAGGGAATATAACGAACGCAGCGGGAATTAAAACTCCGCTCTACGATAAACAATTCCGAGGCATTATCCATGATACCAGCAGCACATATAAGCTTACAACGCCTGGTATTTTCCATCTGTCACCCATCTAGGTATTGACCATGGTGGCGTTGCTTAACTTCGATGATCGTACGGAAACCTGTGTTTCAACATGTGGCTGTAAGACTTAATCTACCAGTTATTCCAATAAACACGTTATTCCCTATTTTGACGTTTCTCTCGCCTGAAATATGGTCTACGAGCGTTTAAATATCTACGCCTTCTTTCCTAATTTTCTTGCTCATAATTAGAATATTAAATCATATAGAACGAAAATCCTTGCTCAAGAAATGAAGAATATAAGCAATTATATGTATATATATATATAATTATTTATTTATTTAAAAATATGTTTCCAAAACGCTACATAAGAAGTGTCATGTTTCAAAACAAGAGCCGAAAACTTAAATATAATTATTTAAATTAAATTGAGTTAAAATAACCTCTGTTCCATCTTCAAGCTTTTTTTTTCTTCTTCTGTAGCATTTTGGAATCATATTTTTAAATAAATAATTATATTTATGCTCTACTTTTGTGTCGAGCACTATCTTTTAAAATAATAACTAAAATACTAAGGGACTTTTGGATTATTTACCTAACCAGTTCCTTCCTATTTTTCTATATATTTTCACACACACACACACACACACACACACAAACACACACATATATATATATATATATATATATATATATATATATATATATATATATATATATATATATATATATATATTCATTTATTTAATATATATATATATATATATATATTCCTTTATTTAATATATATATATATATATATATTCATTTATTTAATATATATATATATACATTTTATTTAATATATATATATATATATTCATTTATTTAATATATATATATATATATATACATTTATTTAATATATATATATATATTCATTTATTTAATATATATATATATATATTCATTTATTTAATATATATATATATATACATTTATTTAATATATATATATATATATTCATTTATTTAATATATATATATATATATTATTTATTTAATATATATATATATATATTCATTTATTTAATATATATATATAAAACATTTATTTAATATATATATATATTCATTTATTTAATATATATATATATACATTTATTTAATATATATATATATATTCATTTATTTTAATATATATATATATATTCATTTATTTAATATATATATATATATACATTTTTATTTAATATATATATATATACATTTATTTAATATATATATATATATATATATTCATTTTATTTAATATATATATATATATATATACATTTATTTAATATATATATATATATATTCATTTATTTAATATATATATATATATACATTTATTTAATATATATATATATATATTCATTTAATTAATATATATATATATATATTATTTAATATATATATATTCATTTATTTAATATATATATATATATATATACATTTATTTATATATATATATATATATTCATTTATTTAATATATATATATATATATATACATTTATTTAATATATATATATATATATATATATTTATTTTATTTATATATATATATATTTATTTAATTATATATATATATATTCATTTTATTTAATATATATATATATATATACATTTATTTAATATATATATATATATTCATTTATTTAATATATATATATATATTCATTTATATATATATATATATATATTCATTTATTTAATATATATATATATATTCATTTATTTAATATATATATATATATTCATTTTATTTAATATATATATATATATATTCATTTATTTAATATATATATATACATTTATTTAATATATATATATATATTCATTTATTTAATATATATATATATATACATTTATTTAATATATATATATATATTCATTTATTTAATATATATATATATATTCGTCATTAATTTAATATATATATATATATACATTATTTAATATATATATATATATTCATTTTATTTAATATATATATATATATACATTTATTTAATATATATATATATATTCATTTATTTATTATAATATATATATATATTCATTTTATTTAATATATATATATATATATTTATTTAATATATATATATATATATTCATTTATTTAATATATATATATATATATATACATTTATTTAA